CAATGTGAAAAGCAGGTTCCAGGAATCCAGGATAAATCAATGGACAAAACAGATGAACATTCTTGCCATGAAATTCTACATTCTAATAGGGGGAGAGGAGACATTAAATTAAGTAATAAATAAGTTACACAGAATTTGGAGGGAGAGAAAGTACAGCAAAGTCAAGGGATCGGGAGTGTGGTGGGGAGGAATGCTGTGCAGCTGCATAAACGAGGTCAGGGTAGGCCTGTTGAGGTGGTGAGCTTTAAGCAAAGATTTGAAGGAGGTGAAGGAGTTAAGCCAAGCAGATTTCAGGGGAAGAGTGTGCCAAGCAGAAGAAAGAGCATAGGCCCTACAGTGGGGCTGTGCCAGCTGTGTTCAAGAAATTGTGGGCAAACAGACAGCGAAAGGGGGAAAAGAGGAGTATGAGCAACGCAGAAGGCTGTGAGATTAGAAGGCAGTGATATCTAGAACACAGGCCAAGGAATTAGCTGAAGACAGGAAGAGTAACCTTTCCTGGGAGGCTGGAGGAAAGAGGGTAAGAAAAAAGGCAGATAAGATTATAAGCAGAGGAAGGAGAAGATGAGAGAGTTCATATTTTTTTTTCCTGAGGTGGTAGCTAAGGCATAATGCCTAACAGGGCAGTGAGGACGCTTGACTAAGGTGGTCAAGATTATAGAAAAAACACTGGGGACAATGTCCAGAATTGCCTGGATAGACACCAAAGAGACTCAGGGGAGACCTAAAACTACACATTAATTGTGGCGCTTAATCCCCAGCATTGTGTGAGATTTCTCTGTGACACAAAGTAAAAATGGAGGGTATGGATGGTAGGAATGATGCATAGTGGGTCTTGCAGAGAAGTAATTAAACCTGCAAGTGTTACTAAGAAAATAGCTGAAGCAATGCAACCCAAAAGTCACAGTGTAGAACAGGAAGACAAAGAAGTAAAATCTGGAAGAGGCTGATGGACTGGCCAGGAGCCCTGAAGAACACAAAAAAAAAGAGACTATGAAAGTGATAGCTGTAAGTTATCAAAGTTTAAGATCTGCAGGTGAATTTGAGATCTGAAGACAGATCTGAAGGTGCTGATGTGTTACAGGATGTGGCTACAACACTGTACAGAACAGAATGAAGCCAACATCTGCCTGAGCTGAAGTCAAAGAATTGTAAGGTTAAGGGTAGTTACAAAGGAAGTTCAGCACAGTGGTTACTTAATTACTACTGACCTTGGAGAAGTCACTAAGCCTCTGTCTCAGTCTCATCATCTGTAAAATGGGGATAATACTATCTGTTTTATATGGCTGTTATAAGGATTAGAGTAGTGAATAAATGTAAAGTGCTTAGAAAAGAATCTGACACATAGAAAGAGCTCAATATGAGTAAGTTATTTTATTGTTGTAATTATTTATAGTCATTAACATCTGCCAGATGATGTCAGCAATTCAGAAGGAAGAATCAGGCCAAGTATCAAAGTCGTTAAACAGAGCAATGGTAGAGGATGGTACAACTGAATGATATGCTTTGCCATAAACAATGTGATATTACATATTAAAAAAAAATCCATCAGACATTTACAATCCTATGACTTAAAACATATACACAAACCACCACAAAACAATCATAAATCTACCAGTTGAGTATTATACAATAAGTACTAGGTGGCAATACAAAGGAGAAAAGGCTCTGACTGAAAATCATGGAAACCACCATGGTATGGGCAGCAGCATCCGAAACTAGTAAAACAAAAAGGAGTTGGAGCTAACCTTGTCTTAACTATGTCTATATACAAATGGTAAACTATAAGTTCCTTAAGGGTAAAGAACTAAATCTCTTTATGCACTCTCACTTAACTGGTAATTAAAGTCATAAAGGTGAGCATAAATGAATCACTGAGCCATTAACCAAAAAGTTCAACTCAGAGAGAAGACCAAGGCACCTTTTGCAGGTTTTTCCTATATCACAGTCACATGTTTCCATCATCTTTTATACTGATGAGCTGCATGGGAAAAAGTTCTCAAAGTATGCATACTTATTCACACTCTTTGATGGATTCCAGAAACTCAGTAATATCTGTTCCAACAAAACCATCTTTCAAAGAGAACCACACAAAGTAGACATGCTGTATCTCTCACTTCAGAGCCTTGAGAAATCACATTATCATCAGTTTACAAGCCCAGAAGGGCACGTCTAACTCCTGGAAAAGATGTGCTCCAATTAATAGCCTGGGAAGGGGTTAACAAACAAGAAGGCAGGGGCCCACTGTTGTCCTTTACTTAAGTACCCAGGACATGACCACAGCAGGGAGGTGGGGCCAGGAGGCTTTGGCCTTGGAGAGTCTGCTGGCACCCTTCTTGGGAGTTTATTCCCTGAACAAATTCAAAGTGGAAAAGAGAAAAGAGAGGAAAAGGAAAACTGCATTCATATCTGGTCTTGAAAAAAGTCTGTTCTAAGCCTTAGAAGCTGTACTTAATTGGATAAATTTTGGAAAAACATTCATCAGAGCAGAGCTGCACATGTTCATAAAATCTTGCCTCCAAGTCAGATTCACCATCAGGTCTGATTTTACCAAATGCTGAAGTTGTACTTAATCACAATTCTTCAGATTTTTTTTACTAATAAAAGAAACTAAAAATATAAAACCTAGAAATATTTCTTGGGGCATGAATTTGAAAACAGACATTCTTTATTTCTCTCATATCAGTGTAATACAAAAAAACACTAATATCTGTTGAAGCCATTTTTCATTTAACCAAGTTTTAAAAGGAAAGCTTAAAGATAAAAATAAAAAATAAAGTGTTGAGACTTTCCTTACGAAACCCCATTTGAAAATTTTTAAGTAGTTCAACTTAAGTGATAGGCATTCAGTTATTAAGAAATGGAGTTTGAAGGAAAGCAAAGGGCACAAAAAAGGTGGGCAATGCTACTCTTCAGGTCCTCTACGTATCTAGGATGTAGGAAAAGACAGATGCAGAAGCTCACACTGAATTTAGTTACTAATCATTTCCAGATCTGCTTTACCAACATGTGTGCAACCTTCATATTCCATCCTTATCAGCTCCACTTGCCTCATAATCTAAGACATACTAATGAGAAAGCATCACCTCACTTCTTAGAGGAGCTAAGATTTTATTATGAGTAAGTTCAGCTGACAAAATGCCAGTCTTTAAATAAAATACCCACCATATCACTTAAAAGCTATTCAAATCCAATCACAGCACTTTCACTGGGGTCAGGCAGACCCATCCACGACACAAAGCAACATGTCCAGTGTTGGCAGAACAGCTGCCTCGAACAGGAAGAGATGTGAGTAAGCGATCTGTTCACAATCTAATTTCAGCTACCTCGAGATTCCACAAAGATGACAACCTCCATCCTTAGAAATGCTTCTGCAAGCCTCTCCCACTAGCATAATATTCCAATTTACTTAATCTCTATATGTTGAGCTACTTTGAAAATCCACCCAATGCAAAATACTAACTTGGGAGGCCTCCATACTGGTAAGCTGGCCTTGGCAATCCTCAAATCTGCCTACACGAAAGGCATCACCAGGCCTTTGCGTCCATAGCACTGACCGTAGAGAATGAATAGAGAAACACAATATTTCACCCCAACAAGAACGGAATCATATGGGGAATTTACCTTAGAAGCTCATTTAGCAATTCACCAAGGAGAAAAAGTGATTTTGGAGTTCAATTCCGATTTCAGGGCCGGGAATGTTTTGTGCTGCATGAACAATGACTAGCCTACTCGATCAGCCTCCCAACCCCCACAACTTGGCTTCTGGTGCGGCCAGTCACCCTGCAAGCTGCCAGAGCTGTCACTCGGTGCCTTCCAGCAACCGGACTTGGCTCCTAAAGGATTTGTCAGATCATCCTCCCAATATGGCTGCCGGAGTAATCCCGGGCTGCTCGACGCCGAGACCACACCAGCTCCCTCTCCGCTGGCCGGCATCCAACAAGCCCCCTCCCTTGCCATCGGATTCCTCTCTCCGGTCCGTGCGCCATCGGCTTCCCCGCGGCCACGCGATGCCCTTTCCTACCTTCATGTCGCAAAAGGGCTCCACCAGATTCCTAGTGGAAGCCCCAGTGCCAACCACGATGGGGGAGAGGGCATGGGGGAAATAAGACCGGGTGCCTCCAAAACGGAGCAGCCCCACCGACCTGCACAGTGCGCAGAGCGCGCCGGGGGCCGGCAGGCAGCGGCGGGTCTGCTGACCGCTGGGCACGGCCGGAGCCTGACAGCTCAGGGAAACGCAAGGCCGGTGCGGGCGCTGCGGGGGACCCAGCAGGCCGCGGGACCCGAGCCCGGAGCTCGCTGCTGGCCCAGGGAACCTCTCCCACCGCAGCCGGGGCTCCCGTGGGGCAGCGCCCTCTGCGCTCGCCGCCCCCGCCGCCCCCGCCGCCCGGCCCGGCCCAGCCGCCCCTCCCCCAGCGCGGACCCTCCCAGCCCGGCTGCCGCGGCGCCAACCGCGGTCGCCCTACCTCAGCCGCGTTGCGGACCGGCGACGGGCCGGCAGGTCAGCAGGCGCTGCGGCGCGCGGGGAAGCGGGGTGCCCGGCACACAAGCTCCTCAGCGCGAGCAGCGGCCGCCGCGAGCCGCAGGGCGCCGCTCCGCAGCCCCATCACGCAGCGGCCAGACCCCGCATCGAGGGCCGCGGCGGGCAGACGGGCGGAACGCAGGAGGCCGGGCGCGGCCCCGGGTCAGCGGGGGCGGGGGCGGCTGCAGCGCGCGCGGGAAGCGGCTCCAACTCGCACCGATGCCTCCCTGGACAGCCACCGTCTGACTGCCCCGCGCCGCTCCTCGCCCAGCTCCGCCCGCGGCCGCCGGCGCGGGACACCGCCCAGAGCCGGGCCGCCGCGCGTCACCGCAGCCCGCCCCGCGCCCGCGACTGACGAAGATAACGGCCAATCGGAGCTCAGAGCTCAGGGCGGCCGGCCAGTCGGGAGGGCCGGGGAGGGGGCTGCGGCGAGGGGCTGCGGAGGCGCGGGGCGCCCCCTGGTGGCCCAGAAGCCAACGCGGCTGCTGGGACGCGGGGTGGGTGAAGCTGGTGCCGAGTCCCCTCCCGGGTGACCCCCGAAGGGCGCTAGTCGGCAGCCGTCGCGTCTGGCCGGCCTGGTGGTCCGTCTTGTAGGGAGACAAAGGCTGGCTAAGCGGGCGGAGCGGGACTGTGGCGGCCGGACGCCTGCGGAGGGGCCGGGAAGCGCGCGTGAGGCGGCTGAGTGTGGAGTCATTGTCCGCTCGGAAAGCCTCTTGCGGGCTGAAGCCGCCCAGCACGGCGCAGCCGGGTGAGTGTGTTATTCCGCAGAAAGCTTCGTGGCCTGTTCTTACCGAGCCCGATCACAACACCTCCCACACGCCACCTTGGGAAAAAAGGCGGAATGAGTAATGGAAAAGCACGCTTTGGTGAGCATTCGGCTTGCCTCCTTGGGAGACCGAGGAGGGGCCGTGAGTAAAGGAACAAACGCTTTGTACTCCCCGAGTTAGGGGGCCGAGCTCCCCCCTGGGAGATGCCTTTGCAGAAGGGTTGTTGGAATTCAGAAACCCGCAGAACGTAAGCACTCTACTAGCGGTTTTTAAAAATCAGATTTAGATTCAGCTCAAAAGAAAAAGTTCACAACTACCCAAAGAGCGGTCCAAGTTAGTACTTGATAAAACATTCGACAATAATATGAGCAATTATCGTGCCAAGCACTATTATTTTATAAATTGTGAGATGCTTTTTTTATTTGCTAGCAGAAATTGAATTCAATACGATATTGGGTGTAAGAAAGCTTACTTCATATAGACATTAAAACATTCAAATTATTGTCTGCATTAATGACGTGGGAAAATCTCCATCCCCACTAAGGTCCTCATACTCTCCGTCCAATCAACACTCACTAAACATGTCCCATTTATTTAGAATTTAAACTCCATCTATCCGCGAAAGGAAGATTTGACATAGTTTGCATTGCAGCATTACAAGCAATAAAATTATAGAGTATTAAAATAGGGGTACAATTTAAAATACTAATAAATAAAAGGCTGCATGGTGGTGTTTGGGGGAAGGCTGTATGAATAAGAGGAGCGCATAAAAGAAAAATAATACTGAAAAGCAGAGTCAGGAAATGTGCTACCACCCAGCACAAAACAGCTTCCTGAAAGCGCAGACACTACAATGGGTTAATAAACGGAAGCGCATCGGTTCATCAGTAGACAACAACTTTTTCCCAGGCTGGAGCTCTTTGACAAGTACCATGATAAGCACCATGGAGAGTTACTAAAACCTGGAAGGTAGTATCGTTTGCACTTTCAACAGAGCTCAGTCTGAAAAGAATTTAAAATTTCATGAAAGGAATGTGTGGTAATCAGCTCTAGACAAATTAAGCAAAAACACACAGAGAAGGATCAATAGAGGCAGATAAGGCTGTTCTAGGTTTCAAGGCCAAAACAGCCTATTCTGCCTAAGACTTTTGCCCCTCTGATAGATGAAGTCACTCTGGAGGGACATTCAGTTTCTCAGGTTACAGATTTTGTACAAAGGCACCTTTTAAAAGCCGTAAGAACTAGACAAATTGAATTCCACGACGGTCCAGTAAGGTTATCCCTGGAATGCAAGAAAAGAAAAATATCAAAAGATCTATTGATGTGATACAAACAGTCACACTACTACAACTAATAAGGTTTCTGAATATAAGATCAATATACAAAAATCCAAAGTGTCCCTTTTTGTTAGGAATAGCGAATTAGAAAAAGTGATTTTAAATGATCCCATTAAGAATAGAAATAAAACTGTTAAACGTTTATGGAGAAGTCACCACTGGAGATGAGCAAGACCTTTGTGGAAAAAATTACACAACTGCCCTGATGGAATACCTTAAAGAAGACCTAAATAGATGAAGAGATGTTCTTTATTTCTACACAGAAAGAAAATGTTATAAAGATGTCAATTCTTTCCCAGTTAATCTATAAACAATGTTAATTTCAAGGAATATTTCAACATGATTTGTCATGGAATTTGACAAAGTAATGGTGAAATTCAACTGGTAAATATATGCCATGCCCATTCAAAAAAATTCATTGCTGGAACAAAGCCAAAATTATCCATAGCAGTTTTGAAGGATGAGATATGGGGACTTGCCCATAAGTTAGCAAGATTTCTATACAAATTAGAATTTATTGTACAAATTTATGTACAAATTAGAGTTCTGTTGCTTTGGCACAAGAGTATGCAAATACAGAAATGGAGTCCAGAAACAGATCACATATGCATGTGAATATAACATATGACAGCACTGACATTACAAATCAGTAGGGAAATTATAAATTATAAATGACAATAAATAATGTTGGAGTAATTGTTGAACCATATGGTAAAAAATCTGATCCTTCTATCACACCACCTAAAAAATAAATTTCAGGTGGATTAAAAACCTAGATCAGAAAAACAAAGCTATAAACTACTTCTATGACCCCGTAAGATAAAGAAAAATACTTTGAAACAACAAACTAAAAACACTAATCACAAAAGGCTGATTTATTTAACTACAATAATAATTTGTTTTAAGTCCACTTCCAGACAATAAAAGGTACCATGAAACAAAGCAAACAACAAAACAAATATATTTACAACACAGGTCACGAGCAAAGTATTCAGAATATATAAAGAAATCCAGTCCATTAACAATAATATAAATCAATATGAAAAATGCAGACAACCTAATGGAAAAAGAAAATGTCCAGAAGAATATGAGCAGGCAATTCACAGAGGAAGATATGAAAAGACTCTTAACTCACCGGAAATGAGATACCATGCCACATCCATCAAATTGCCAGAAATGGAAAGTCTGATAACACCCAGTGATGTGAATGAAATGGTGTAACCATTTTGGAAGATTTGTTAGCAACTGGACAAATGGAACATGAAAGCCCCCTAACACACCAATTCTAGTGCATACTCTGGGGAACTCTTGCATAGGTAGATTAGGAAACACACACAAGAATGGTCTTTGCAACGTTGTAATAGGAAAAAATTGAAATGTCCATCAACAAGATGAGATATCATCCTATAATGGACTACTATGCAGCAGTTAAAAAGGCATGCTCTGGAGCTGTGTTTAACAACACATCTGTAGCAGTCAGGACCCAGTTAGGAAATAGAAACCATGGTATTTATTACACAGGAGATTTAATAGAAGAATGGGTTATCCAGATGTCACAAGGCCTGAAGAGAAAGAAAGGAGAAGGGATGATAACTCAGAGACTAGAAACTGCAAGAAGGTGCTACACCCCTACCATTGGAGACAAAAAAAGGAGGAGAAACTGGGATACCCCAGAAGGGGCCAGGACTAATGCTGAGGCATAGAGGAGAGGCTGCTGCATCAGGAGACTGCACCAGAAGGAGGGGAAGAGCAAAAGTGAGAGAAAAACTTAAGATTTCTCTCCCCATCTCAATACCTCCTACTGGCAGGACCCAAAGGAAACCACCTGGCAAAGGAGCTTGAGAAACAGACTTCAGAAGGCAGGTACAAGGCTGAGAAACAATATGTAAATAACTAACACAATAACTGTATCTCAAAAACATTAAGTTGAGCAAAAAATAATAGCAGGAGGGTTGTTGGAATTCAGAAACCTGCAGAACATAAGGTTATCCGCAGAACATAACATAATTAACTATATCTCAAAAACACTTAAGTTGAGCAAAAAATAATAGCAAGAGGTACAGAGTAATAGGTGCAGTATAATAATCCATTTATATGTAAATTTTGAAAACATGCAGAACTTTAAACTGTTTAAGGCAACATTCAGGTATTGTCAAGGAGGAAAACATGTATGGTAATGATAATCAATAAATTCAGGATAGAGATTTCCCTATGAGAGGTAAAAAAAAGCAAAACATAGGAAGTTACAACTGTATTTTAATATTTTATTTCCTGGAAAAAAATGACACAAGGGTGGAAATGTTAGTAGAATCGGGTTGTGGTACCATTATGTTAGTCTCTATACTTCACTGTCCATTAAAAAATATTTCATCATTTAAAAATGGTATTTGTATAATGACATACCAGCTGTGATCCCATAAGTAACCCTCTGCAGGCTGGGTCAGCAGCTGGGTCAGAGAGGCTGCGGCCTACCCGCAGCAGCTGGGCCAGGCATGTGGGCCTGAGCGGGTGGGAGAGCATCAACCATAATCCTTTCTCTGACCTGGTTGGAAGACGCACTGGTCTCACCACCTGCACTGTGTAAAGGACACCATCTTGGCCAGTCGTCCTTCCTGACTCAGAGCCCATATTCATTCAAAACTGCCACATGCTGCCACTTGCACTGACAAAAATGTAGGAAGAGCCTGTTTTCATTTCTGGGAGAATTAAGACTGCCATCTGCTGCAGGACTATCCATGCCCAGTAAAGAAAATTTTGTTCCGAGTATTTTAACCAAGATCAGGTAACATGTACTTAGGTCTTGGATCGTGTTGCACATTTAAAAATAGAAACTGCTTATATTTTTGGACCTGGGAGGCTATCCTGTTGAAGCCAGAAAATATCTGTTGTTTTATACAAAGTCCTTGTAAATATTAATTCATTAATGTCTATTTGATACATGTGTACAGATTGTATTAAATAACAGCAGTATGGAGCTTGAGACACATCAATAAATGCTCTGTTTTTTTCAGTGACTACTAAACAGAATGCAATTTGGTTTAATTCATTAATATTAATATACAGTGACACCACGTATGCTGAGATTATTTGGGATTGGAGAATCAAAACTGGAAGATACTTTAGAACTGGTTAGTCTGCCAGGTCAAGAACTGGTGAGCACAACAAGCCTGTGGTTTGCTGAGCACTGACTTTTGTCTGGTGGTTTCAACTACCCAAAATCCAGAAAGAAGGAAGAGAAAATCAGCGAAAACAGATGTTACAAAACTCATGCATCTAACCCACTGGAAAGTTCCTCAAGCCTGTATCCAGTGTCTCTTTGCTTACATTTCACCTCTAATTCTAATAAGCTAAGCTGCCTGAATTCTTAGCTCATGAGAGTAGGAACGAAATGGAAATGGGGGAGTGCAGTGCTAGAAAATATGAGACTTACACCAGCAGAGATTAAAATTTTTAAAAGCATATGTAAGATCTCAGAAAACATAGCTATCTGACAACATTTGGATCTCAACTCCTGGCTATTTCTGAAAACCAAACGAATACAAAATCTGAATTCCGACGCTGTCAAGAATGGTCAAAATCAAGCTACAGGCTACAAACACTATTCTAGAAGAATAATTCCAAAAATTTGTTGAGTAAAAGGCAAAGGTGACACCTTTGAAAAGAAGTTTCTAGGCTTCTAGACAGCCTTGAAAAGAAAAAGAAGTCTCTGCCTGGACCACATTTTCTAAAGTCCCTAAAGGGAGTAGGAAAACCAATCAGTGTCATCTTTTCCCCTTTTTCTCCAAAGCTCAATTATATTTAAATCAATACCAGTTTAACAGTAATATATACATCACACCGCAAGTTAGCACAGTTGCTGAACTCACCCTGACTCTCAGAACCACACAGTAAATACTGAATAATCCATGCAAAAGTAATGAATCAAGAACCCAAACACTGATGTTTTTGTAAAAACTGAAAGAATGGGAGATGTTTATTTCATGCATTCTCTTAGTTCTCCATGAGTAGTGCAAGATTTTGTTGTCCTTTTTTGTTTTTATTTTTTATTTTAAAGATCTATTTGGCTTTATGCAAAGATTCATGAATAAGGCAGCATCCCACCTAGCAAACAGAAGGGAGTGCCCAAGAATTTGTTTTAATTAGCTATTGGCTCTTTGCAAACACAGTCAGCTATAATCAGTGTGTCTGGCTGTTTCCCCTGGCCATGACTGGGGAATCTGTCTCAGCCAGATAAGAATGCTCTGTGTAGATTTCCCTTTTCTAAATTGCAGTTTATACATAATTTTTTGGTAATGGGCATTTTTACTAATTAGGAACAACCTTGCCTCAATTAACTTTGGTCTTAAAGCCATGATTAAAGAAACCAAATTGTTGTTTCTGTGAATTGCTGTGCCAGTGACAGATGGCCCTGGAATACATGGGCAGAAGATGGTGCCTGTGATGGGCTTCCTACAGCTCCAGCGAGAGTCTAGCCGCCCAGAGGGGTCCTTGGGGATGTTCCAGGCAGAAGAGAATTCTGGGAGCACAGGGCCCGCAGTTGAATAGTGCTCAGTGGAGGCATATCTCAGATGACCCCATTATTGCCACCATTCCCAAATCCCCCGTCTGTGGAGACTACCGTGAAGCTGGCCCCAAAGCTCCAGCTCTCAGACGGCGCCTCCTGGGAATGGCACTTTTTACTCTTGCTTAGAGCACAGCCACTTGAAATGAAATGAATATGTAATTCATGCTCAGAGAAAGCATACCGGAAAGTAGGAGTAGAGAGGAATCAGGAGCACCAGCTTTTACAGGCAGACTGTTAGAATCTAATTCTGTCACTTGCTCTGTGCCCTTGAGCACATAAGCCAAAGTCTGCTCTTCTCTACAATGGGAGTGAAGATACTGCCTGATTCTCTCTTCACATTGTGAGAATCAAACGAGGCTGAGAGCGTAAAGCACAGAGTTTGCTGCACTGTCATATTCATAGTAATAACGCCATGGTCTCCTCAGTAAGGGAACTCCCTAATTCTTTATTCTCTCTCTCTCCCTCTCCGGTCGTCCTTCCCTTTGGCTTCCCTGTCTGTAGGTGGAACCAGTCGGCTTCATCCTAGCAGCGGGGTCATAGGCACGTCAATGTCTCTAGACTTGAGTCTTTGATCTATAATATGAGGTGGTTCAAGTAGATGGATTCTAAGGTATGTTCAGGTTCTAATACTTACTTGGCATTCTACACTTACTGGATTTTTCTCTTTCTCTCCAGACAGAGGAAGAATTTAAATAGATGATGGCGATGATGATGGTGGTAATAGTGATGAGAGTAGCAGTGTTTATTGACCATTTACTATAAACCAAGAACTATCCTAAGCCCTCCACATTGTCTCATTTTATACTTGAAAGAGTCCTATTAAATAGGCCCTCTTACTGTTGCAAATTGACATGTAAAGAAACTCGGGTGTGGAGGCTGATTTATGGCCCCCCAATGATACCAGGTCCTAATCCCCAGAACCTGTAAATATCACCTTATAAGGAAACAGGGTCTTCACAGATGTTAATTAAGGATTTTTAAATGGGGAAATTATCCTGGATTATCAATGGGCCCTAAATGTAATCATGTGCATTCTTACAAGAGGGAGGTGGGACTGCACAGCTAGAGGTGGAGAAGGCAGTGTGACCAACGAGGCAGAGGCTGGAGGGAGGCAGCCACAAGCCGAGGAGCAGCAGCAGCCTCCAGCAGCTGGAAGAGGCCAGGGACGAATTCTGCCCTGGAACCTCTAGATGGAGCCCAGCCTGGTCAACACTTTCATTTTTTTTGCCTAATGATACCAATTTTGGGCTTCTGGCCTCCAGAAATGTGAGTTGAATAAAATTCTGTTGTTGTAAATCACCCAGCTTATTGTAGCAGCAGCCACAGAAAACTTACACACATTTTGTGGTTTATTCGCAACCACTGTCAGTAAATGGCGGTGGAACCAGGATTCAAATCCATGAGCATGTGGCTCCCAACCCCAGGCTCTTCAGCACTGCAGGGTATGCTCCTTATAATACATACAACAAACAGAAACTGACCAAGAAATAACTAACAAAAAAACATCGGGTGTTCCATCAATAGCAAGATAGCATTCTAAGTGCATCCAACCAGCTTTATTCTCTCTACTGCAAACATCTCAGGTTTAGAAGCACTACTTTAAAAGTTCATTCTCCCACATATTTCATATCACAATTAGGTCATACCTGCATCACTGCCCAGAAGAGTGCACTTCAACGAGAAGATACAATTTGTGAAAAGAGAAAATATTATATATTTAGTTTATAGCTAAAGAGATTACTTGGCAACAATTTCAGGCTCTTAGTCCACTCTTGGCAATCAGAGAAACAGAAGCTGCTTATCTTTTTAAAAGGTTTCCTTTCTTCCCCATCAAGCTGGACTCTGTCTTCAATTTTCTCAAAAGGAAAATGAGTAAGGACTAAGAACTTGGGTTTTTTTTTTTTTTTTAAGAACTTGGTTTTTATTGCCCTCACTTGCTAACTTCTGACTGAGTTCCCAGGAAAGTTGACTAATAGGAAAATTGGGATTTGGAGTTTGAATTTAATCCTAGTCTACAAATGAGCCCAAATTTTCCTCTGTAGTAACGGAAACTTCAGTTCAAACTCTTAATACTCATTAAACCTTAGAGTTTGTACTCTAAGCCTATTATAGTCACCAGGGCATGTCCCCCAATCCGCCAGCTTTATGCATCTTTTCTCCCTGTTCCCCCTTTTGGGCCACTTAAATAAACATGAACGAAGTTTTGAGATAAGTGGTCATAACTTCAGGATGGTCTGCAATGCTCTAAATGAAATGTTCTCACCCCAGATTTGTGGGCACAATGCAGTAAGCATGGAAAGAGCTGAGGATGAGGCCCCCTTGGCTGCCCTAGTACTTCTCAATCATCCTAAAGAAATGAACTGGAAAAGAAAAATGTTTCCACCTCATTGACAGCCTCAGCAGGCTGGCTTGAAAGATGATAAAGACAGCATTCTAAGGCCAGGCATCTCCGAGGAAGAGCTAAGCATTTAGATCTATAATACTGATATAAAAGCTGACTCTGTGTTTATAGCTAAAAGTTAACCCTACTTATTTATAATGTGCCTTTCTTTATAAGAGCTCAAAGTTGTTGTTAAAGCCATTGCATCAGCAGTTTCCTTCCACCCATGTAATGTTGACAGGTAACATGCTCATTTTGTAAAGAGACTGAAAGGTATGGAAATAATCTCTAGAGGCTATAAACCCACTAGTAAAGTGAACGGACAGACCTGGTGACCACATGAGCTTTGACAGCCAACCAACCAATGTTCTCCCTCCCTATCTCCTTCCCCACCCATACCTGCACCCATGTTCCCACACACACACTCTGCCTCAAGAGCTTCCAGGTAGCACAGTATTGGAGATCCTGTGTATTTTTTAACCACAGTTCAGCCTGCCTGTCCACATTCTTCACTGCAGTTAGTGGCAGTTTATCCAACATGCTTAGCTTTCAACAAAACAGTATCAATAGTTTAAACCACCATAAACGTGTTACACAATGCAACAGGACAACAGATTTAAGGGAGACGGTCTCCTGAGATCAGCACACCACAGCTCCTTTACCTACCCCAGCCTCCCATGGGGTTTGGAAATGACTGAAGCAAAGCCCTAGCCCCCGTTTTCTGGTTCTTTGGTTAAATAACTCGGAAGAGTTCTTCACAGCCTTGGCAAGCAGGGAGAAATGAGCATCCCAAAGTGTCTTTCATGAGCAGCCATGTAGTCGCAGGCAAGGAATGTAAGCGCCCTGGACTTCAGTGCCTTCAACTGCAAAATGAGATGGAAAATAATACCTACCACAAGGCTATCGGGTGGGTTAGATGAGGCTGTAACCTCCAGCCAGGGAGAGGCCAGAATAGAGAGGGAGGCAGATGAGTCTGAGAAACTATATAAAACCTAAGAGATCCATGAGAGGCCAGAGATGGCTGGGCACTAGGAGGGGGGTAATGGCAGCTCAGAACCGAATGGGGCATGCTTGTGGGTGGAGGCGAGGCCAGGATGGGCTGCTGAGTCAGCTTTATCCCCTCCCTCTCCACACTGCCTGGGGTGATCACTGCTTGGCTCTGCATCACAGGTGCAGGAGCTATTTCGGGGAAGCACGGATGCCTTGCTGTGGGGAGGCGCAGACAGCACGCACTGGGGGACAGCCCGACTCCATTCCTTCTCCTCCATTCTCTAAGATGATCACAACCAAGGTAAAAGGCTCTCAGAAAACAGCAGTGCTGGGGAAGGTTTGTTAAAGGGCAGAGTGACCTGTAGGGATGGCAAATGGGGACTTTAGGACACCTATAATTTAATGGCACCACTTCTGAGACATGCCTTCTTTCAATACTAGTGCACACTTCACCAGGACAGCACAAACTAGGGCTGATCTTTAGACTCAAGCAGTATATATTACTATTAACCAGACAGGTAGTTTATATAATGCCCAGGGGAGTGTGAGCTCATGAGAAAATAACTACACGTCTAAGGAGCAAAACAGCTATAATATAAATCAGAGACAATAAACTGAACAATTTACATCAGAGGAAGCAAAATTAATGGACAAGATACAACAAAAACTTCAAATCAGCATAATAAACAACCTCAAAGAGAGAGGCCACTAGTAACAAGGAACAGAATAAGCCGCTTTTAAAAAAAAAACTGATTGGAGATACAACTTTCCATAGGCAAATGCATACAAAGAAGGAGTTAGTGAAGGAACAGATCAGACTGAGGAATTCAAGCAGAAGACATCAAGAAGGGACACAGAGAAACATTTAAAAATATACATAGAGGGAAGTGGCATTATAGGTTATAATGCTGAATCACTGAATTATGCAGTGTAGTGACTTGGAAAATTGGCATCTCAAATGTAGAGAAATAGTGAGTGGGGAAGTTACTAAAACCAGGAAAAGATATTACAAGAAAAAAACACTACAAACCAATATCCCTTAGGATGCAAGACACGGATGTAAAAATTCTTCAAATTTATACCAAGTTGAATCAAACAATATATAAAAAGAATAATACATGATATCTTGGGGTTTCTCCCAGGATTTCAAGGTTTGTTTAACATTCAAAAATCAATCAGTGTAATTCACCATATTAACAGCCTGAAATAAAAAACTATTATTGACATCTCAATAGGTGCAGAAAATGCATTTGAAAAAAATCCAAAATCCAAAATTCAACCTCAAATGGACCTTGAAATACAATCAAGAATGTCCATGGTCACATCAACTATAACAGTCCCAAACTGGAAACAACCTAAGGGTCCATAAACAGGTAAAAAAATTTTTGATATATTTATACAATGAAATATATATAGCAATGAAAATGAATGAATCATCAGTAATGTGGCAATAGACTATACTTTTTTTTTTTTAGTGGTTTAAAACAACACCCATTTATTACCTCACAGTTCTGTAAGTTTTGGGTATAATTTGTTAGAGCAATGGGGAACTAATACACAGAGCTTTGTGCTCAAGGCCCCTTTGTTACCCTCCCACATTCTGTACCTAGTCCATCAGAACATTTTATTGCTCCACATAGTATATGCAGAATCTGACCATATCTTACCGTCTCCACCGCTACCGTGTGGCCCATCATCTTGGCTTCTACACCGTCAGTACCTCAGTCTGTTCTTTTTCTTTTTTTATTGAAGTATTGTTGATAATCTTTTTTTTATTAAGGTACCATTGATAAACAATCTTATGAAGGTTTCACATGGAAAACATTGTGGTTACTACATTCACCCATATTATCAAGTCCCCCCACACCCCATTGCAGTCACTGTCCATCAGCGTAGTAAGATGCTATAGTCAATACTTGTCTTCTCTGTGCTGCACTGCCTTCCCCGTGCCCCCCACTACATTATGTATGCTGATCATAATGCCCCTCAATCCCCTTCTCCCTCCCCACCCGCTCCCCTTTGGTAACCCCTAGTCCCTTCTTGGAGTCTGTGAGTCTGCTGCTGTTTTGTCCCTTCAGTTTTGCTTTGTTATTAAACTCCACAAATGAGTGAATATAATCTTATATTGGCTTCAAATATACAACACAGTGGTTCAACAGTTACCCGTATTATTAAATCCTCACCCCTTCTAGTTACTATCTGTCAACATAGAAATATGTTACAGAATCATTGGTTATATTCTCCATACTGGACTATACTCACTCTTATGATGTAATATATCAAGAAAGAAAAGTCAGATTTAAACATATTAAATATAAATATATTAATAACATTTCAAAATAGGCAAATTTAAACTATAGTGTTTAGGGATGTATACATAAGTGACAAAACCATAAAGAAAAGTAAGGAAGTGATTTCCATAGATGTCAGCATAATGCTTACCCGCGAGTGGGTTCAGAGGGTGGGTTTGGGAGCAAGAACTAAATGGGCTTCTGTGACCCTGGAAATACTCTGTTTCCTTGCCTGAATGGTAGATTTCTAATACTTCATGAAGTTGTATATCTATGTTTTATGTATTTTTCTTAATAGGTGTAATACTTCATAATAAGAAAAATATACTAAGAAAATATCAACCTAACCAATACCAGAGTAGCAATTTCAATATTAGATAAAAAAAAGATAGAAATGAATATGAAGACCTTCATAAGAGAGAAAAATATGGCAAAAGGAAAAATAATCAAGAAAATATAATACTTATATCTCCTGTACAACATAACCTCAAAAAATATAAAGTAACTATTGGAATAGAGACTTTATCATACAGTATTGGAAATAAGTAGATCAACCAGAAACCAGACAAAAGAGGGAGGCAAACATAGAGATTTCAGTAACACAACCAATAAGCCAGAATTAATCAATATGTGTGGAGTTTATATTTGATAAACAGAGAATACATATTGAGATACATGGAACAGTTACAAAATTCATCCTGTACAAGGCCACAGGGCAGCCTTGATAGATTCCCAAGAATCAACATCATTTTGACAATTGTCCTCAGAGCACAATGCAATGAAATGAGAAACAGATTTTAAATGGATTTAAATATAACTGTAGATGTGTGTATAGAAAAATTTTAAATACTATTAAATAACATTTGAAAATAAAATCATAAAGGGGACCCTAAAGGTTGTAGAAATGAATATCAATAAAACACTATGTCAAAATTGGTGGAATATAGTTAAAACAGTACTGCAGGAAAATTTATAGTTTTAAATACATCAGAAACTAAGAGAAAGTGTATGCGTTCAACTCAAGAAACTAGAAAAAGAACAATAGTAAACTCAAAGAACAAAAAGAGAGGGAAGAAGAGGTTAAGAACAAATAATACAATAAACCAAATTAACCCAATCAAAAGTTCTTGTCCGGATAGTGGTTACTTGCGGTAACTTGCAAGGGAATGGTACCTGGAAGAGAGGAGCAGGGACTCTGAGCTCAGGTGATGTTTTTTTCATCAGGTGCTGATTGCATGGTGTGTCCATGAAAGGTCCTTTTGCTGTATGCTTAGGATGTGTATACTTCTTTGTAGGAATATAATGCTTCAATAAGAAATACACTAGCTGGTTCTTTGAAAAAAGATTGATAAGTTAGAGAAATATCAGACAAGAATAATAAAGAAAAGAGTTGTAACTAAATACAATTCATAATGAAAAAGGGAAAATACAGATATAACAACACATAATAACATAATAAAAGAGTATTATATTCAACTCTTTATCTACAATAACTATTATAAAGAAAAGTCAAGAGTTCCTAAGGTCTCCCTACTGCCTCAAACTGTATCCCACACCAAAACCTCCTAGGTTTAGATTGTTTTATAAAGTTCTACCAGTATTTCAAAGTATATGCGATCCCTTTTATCTGCAAGTTATCCCAGAAAAATAAAAAAGGAGAAAGATTAAATATCATCTCAGTGGGTCTTGCTGGTCCATCCCAAATAAAATTGCAACTCCCTTACCTCACTCTTCCCTGTTTTGTTTTTCTCCTTAGCATTTACCACCATCCACCATAATGTATATCTTAATTATTTGTCTTGTGTACTGTCTGGCTCCTCTCAAGAGAAATTCCATGATGATAGGAATTTTGTATTCCAGCACTTGGAACAATGTTTGGCACAGAATGGTTCTCAATTAATGTTTTAAATATTTACTCAATGAATAAAATATCCTCAATTTATGAAGCTAGTAAAATCTTTAATTCCAAACTGGATGTGAATGAAATGTAGAAAATGAAAGCATGAGTGGGTTCATTTCACCTTTGCTCATGAGAACAGAAATCCTAAATAAGGTATTAACTAGCTGAAACTAATCATATAGGAATGTAAGAATGGTTTAAAAATTTTTTTTTAAGTTTTAAGAGTATAATTCTCAGTAATAGTCAAAGAGTGAAAATCACATAAGTTGAAGAACAAGTCCTTGGTCATTTTCAACATCTATTTAACATATAAATTTTCTTAAAATAAAATATAGAACACCATAACTTGATAAAGACTATCTCCCATAAACCTACAATTGTCACATGCCTTAGAAAATCTTTGTAGGCATTCACATTTAGTTCTGGAACAAGACAAAGATGCCTAGTATGACCTTTTTTGTTTAACAGAGTACTGAAAGCCCTTGCCAATGTAATAAGAGAAGAAAAAGAAATGGTATAGATATTGGAAAGGAAGAGACAAAACTGTCTTTATTTGCAGATGACACATTCTTTTATAGAGAAAGCCTATCAGAATCCCATAATTAAAAGAAATAATAAAATTTCTGAAAGATTGCTGGATATAGGATAAACCTCAAAAGAATCATATCTCTACACCAATAATATCCAACTAAAATGTATAATAGACAAGTTATCTTTTGTAATAGCAATAAACATTGTAAAATAGTCAGGAAGTAACCTAACAAATGCACAAAACCATTACAGAGAAAACTTTAAACCTTTATAGTGAGATTTTAAAAACAAAATAGAAGATATTTACTATGCTCAGAGATAAGAAAATTTAGGATTTGTGAAGTTTAAGGATGATTCCCAAATTAATCTCTCTTATCTGGACCTCTGCCATGAACCCCAGGCTCAAATATTCAATTACTTATTTCACATGGCCATTCAGATGACCAAATTATTGTCAATTTAAAATGAACAAAATGAAGAAACTGAATTCTCTTACCCCCAAATTACTCTTCCTTCAGCCTTCCCCATGTCAGTATATAGCTACTCCATCTCTCAAGTTGTTCCAGCCAAAAATTTGGGGGCCAAATTTAATCCCTTTCTTTCTCTCATTCTCCACATCCAGTCAATTGGCAAATCCTTTTGACTCTCCCTCCTAAATATTTTCAGCATCTCCACAAAAACCACTACTCCTGTTGCCCTGGCCTAAGCTTGCATCAATCTTTCCTGAATTGCTGCAAAGCCTTCCAGTTGGTCTCCCCATTTCTGTTTCCACTCCTGCCTACCCCTTTTCAATGTGTTCTCTTTAGTAGCCAGAGTTGATAACATGAAATGAATGCCAGGTGATGCCACTCTGTGACTCAGTCCTTCCAATAGCAATCACTCTCACTCAGCATGGTCTTTGCCATGTCCTACCACGTGTAGCCATCATCTCCAGATGTCTGTTTCCTTAACCTCATCTACTGCTCATAACTTTGCACATTTCCCTCCAGCACATGGGCCTCCTTGCTATCCCTCAAACATACTAGCACTCCGTGGAAGGGTCTGCATTTGCTGTTTCCACTTCCTGAACCATGCTTCCAACAGCTTTTTGCAGCCCTTCCTCCATTACTTTCTTCACGTTTAAGCAGTACTTTTTCAGAACTTCCTTGACCACCTCTCAAAAGAGAGTCTCATACATTGCTGGTGAAAAGTCATTGGTACACCACCAAAGGAGGGCAAATTAGCAACATATAGGAACATTAAAATTGCATGTACTCTTTGATCTTCTAATTCCACAGTTCAGAATTTATCTTAACATATATTTGCACACATACAAAGTGACATATTTACAAGGTTGTTCACTGCAGGACGGTTTGAGGTAGCTTGTAGTGCAAGCACCCAAAGTTCTATCAATAGACAACTTGGTAGTAGAATATATGAGCTGCTGAAAGAAAATAATGGATTCCAAGGTTTGTTTTATATGAAAAAAAGCAAGGTTCAGGATAGTATAGAACTACCATTTCTCTTGAAAAAGAAAACTGATAACTGGATGACAGGAATTGGAAGGAAAAGTAGTCCTCTGAATATTCTTTAGCTTTTCTTGCATATTGAACTATGTGTACATATTTCCTATGCAAAAGATTTAAAAAAAATTAAAGCCCTAAAACCACATCTATAGTTTTGAAACCTGAGAGAGCTTAGTTACTATACCATACTGAGAATAAATGAAATACCACCAAAAAGTACACATTAAAATGGTTCATTGTATATTATGTGAATTTTACCTCAAAAATCCATAAAAATAGAGATAAATATAACAA